AATATTAATAAACTGTGAAACAACGGAAAAATCCACAAAATACTAGTAACATTAATAAACTGTGAAACAACGGAAAAATCCACAAAATACTAGTAACTTTAATAAACTGTGAAACACTGGAAAAATCCACAAAATACTAGTAACATTAATAAACTGTGAAACACTGGAAAAAATCCACAGAATACTAGTAACATTAATAAACTGTGAAACACTGGAAAAATCCACAGAAATACTAGTAACATTCGAATTCAACACTATGATACCAAAACAACTTAAACACAAAATCAATAAACTGGAATACAGTCTGTACATATAATAAAATGCGTAACAGAAATCTGGAAACTTTTGATTTTGCTTTCTGCATACCTCTAGATAAGACAATAGAAAATGACATATACTAGAAAAAAACAATGTTTAATTTTGGTATAACTTTGGCACACTAATTATTTTATATGAAAAAAACAAAAAAAGAATTATTTTCTGTACAACAACAGTATGTAATGCTTTATATAAATAATACCTAAGCTTTTTGCATTACATTGATTCATTATGTTTTTATCTACACGACACCTGAGTTTATCTATAGTTTCTGTCTTCTCCATTAGCTCCTTCTTTATTCGTTCACATTCCTGGACAGCCATCTGATATTTTAGCCTTGTCTGAGCAACCTCCAGTTCTGCACGACGACGAAGTTCCTTTTCTTTATCCAATTCTTTTATGGCTCTATCTCTCTCCGACGTATCTAAAACCTTCCGTAGAAAACGGTACGTGTTATATTTTTTACTATAAAATGATAACACGTACAGAAAATAATCCATGCATAAAAAAATGTTACGTCTTATTGTCAAAATTTAACAGAAAACAAAAATACCCCCCCCCCATCCAGTGGGTCTGCAGTAAGTTTATATGAACTTACAATACTAAAATCTAGGGTTTGATTCTGCTCGAAATTTCATATTTTCACTATTTTATACATCCTTGTTATGTTCTGAGAGTTTTGCCAAAAAAAAGTTTATGTTGGTAAAATGGGAAGAAATTCAGAAACAACTCACAGAACATAAAAACGCTACTTTTCTAAACATGTACAACCATGCTTGTAAAAGGCTACGGTAACTGGCACAGACATGAATGTTACTGTAGGCAAACATGTTCATAACTGAATTGTCAATTTCAATGGTAGTCCGTGATCTCATATCTATCAGGGAACTGCAAATAGCGGCCTGAATTACCCGTTGGATAACCTCCAATAATAACTTTAGTATAGGCTCTTCAGCAGGGCTTAAAACTCTACAGTACAGGTGAGGTTCAATTGTGCATGTCACGATCTTCTACAGAGTTATATTTAAAATTTAATTAAACAACTTTATCACCAATTTATGGCATCAAAACCCATTCGCCGTGCTCTCCTATCACAAAAACTTTTTTTTTTACCAAAAACAATAATTCTCTCCAATATTTGCTCCTGGATTATTTATGACCAATAGAAAAGGTGATTTAATTTCTGAATTCATTACTAGGCTAGATCTTCACTCAACATTATAAAAGTTTTTTCTGCACCAATTTCCTTCTGGTCGTTGACGAGATCACATTGACAAGGGAAAGGAATTATTAAGTAAGTTCAGTTAAAAATCCAGTAAAATTATAGTAATTATAATTATAAAAATCTCTCCAATAATTAGGGTTAACTTTTGTCAATACTTTGAGAGTTCAGTGGCAGAAGAAAAGTAAAAAAGAATCACATGTAAGTACTAATGTTCCTGTTTTTTTTCATGTATATTTTTATTCATTGGGAGAAAACAAATAAAACTTAAAAACTAGGGACTTGTAATTTGATCACGGGTGCTTTAATTTGATGCCATTCTTACTCAAAACTTCCCCAATTATGCTAAATGAGTTTGGTACTAGCCTAAGTGATAATAAAGCAATCAATCTAAATGACTGGGATATTTGAAATTAGTTTTGAGTGTAAAAAAAAAAATCAATAAAGTGTGATTGTCTGTAAGTGAAAAAAGTAATTGTTTTGTTTTTCATGATGATGAGATGGGTCAAATTGATTGACCTGGCCTATACAGTTAGCATTAGTTCAGAGAAAATAAAACATATACGATAAATTTTTACCTTATAAAACTTGATATTCATTTCGGTAATTTGATCAATACGTGATGTTTCATGGAAAATGATAAAGAATCACAGAAAAACAGACAAAGGACTGATGAGGTGAAAGTAGTGTCGGGCAGGAGGTATAAGATGGGCCATGTTTGTACCTTCATGGCTCTCAAACTCTAACTCATTCCCAAAGCAATCTAATGTTCTGTTCTATATGTGAGAAACATTCTTTGCCAGATCAAATCTCTGTCAAGAGGTGTCCCTCTTTCAGAATAGATGCTTTAAAATTGCATCTTAATAACTAGAGCCATGCCTGCACAGTTCAGGTCATAAAGGCATCCCATCCCATGCCATGCCGGAAACTATTACGTTTGAAAGAGCAGTGAGAATTATGAATGCCAAGACTTTTTACAAACTGAGTACTCAGTTCAGGATCTGTCATGCCATTGCCAAACTTTGGAGAAGTCTGTCAATATGGCAAAGTTTTTATGTGATGAAACAAGAGATTATGCCATCAGGAAACAGCTCGGCTCAGTACACACATCAGGTAGGTCAGCTTGGTTTGGACTTCAAGCAAAGGAACGTGAGGACTATCTGCACTAGCCATCCTTAAGTTAGCAGTGATGGACTAGAGGGAAGGCAGCTAGTCAACATAATCCTCCACCAACTCGTGAGCTACTCTTTTACCAAGGAATAGAGGGATTGACTGTCACCTTATAACATCTCTACAGCTGAAAGGGAGAGCACCCTTATTTTTGTCAGTCGAGCACCCAATTCATCAGGCCATGCCAGGTCTCAGGTAGGAGGGACTGCAGCGAGATGATTTTTCCAACATCTAGGCTAATTGGAAAAAAAAGAAGATAAAATATGGTTCTCACAGAGTTGTGCAAAGTTCTGTTTTATAGCTTAATGGAGTTCTGTTAGGATTAGGACGGTCACACAGGGATATTCACTTTAACTTTTCAGGTGGACTTCTTTACCCTCCAGAGAGTTGGGAGAGCTACCACTGACACTGCAACGATACGATACTCCAGGCACTCAAAGTGTGGTCAAATATAGAGAAACTCGGGCCAAACTTACAGGTTTTCCAAGTGACAGTGTTTCTCTAACGCAGGGTGTCAGAAACAGTGTGGCTGCTAATTTGAAGGGAAATCAACCAAAGCATGACACATTGCATGGAATTGGTCATTAAGGCAGCCTTCAAGGAAGTACAATTGTATGAAAAGATGGACAAGCTGCAGGATATCTGTATTTTCTATCACCAAAGTACATTTAACAGGGTCAGAGACCGAGACCTTAGAGGTAAAAACCAAGACTGAGACCGTGTAATAAATTACACAATGAAAAATAAATCATGAATAAAAATCATGTGTGAAACAAACTTTATTAACATCTTAACCACAAATCTTTTACACATTAACCTTACAGTCTTTATCTTTTACACATTAACCTTACAGTCTTTATCTTTTACACATTAACCTTACAGTCTTTATCTTTTACACATTAACCTTACAGTCCTTATCTTTTACACATTAACCTTACAGTCTTTATCTTTTATACATTAACCAATGTATAAAAGATAAAGACTGTAAGGTTAATGTGTAAAAGATAAAGACTGTAAAGCCTTACAGTCTTTATCTTTTACACATTAACCTTACAGTCTTTATCTTTTACACATTAACCTTACAGTCTTTATCTTTTACACATTAACCTTACAGTCTTTATCTTTTACACATTAACCTTACAGTCTTTGTTTCAACGTCTCCTCCTATGAAAAAAAAAATCAAAAAGGTCAGCAAATAAAACTAAAACCAGTATTGGTGTCAGTAAATTCTTTAGGATCTTTGAAGCCAAACAAGATCACAGCAGATCTAAGAGACAGGTTGAACATCAGGGATAATCACCAACGTTTGACGTAAATACGTACACCAGATGAAGATCATACAAACTCGTAGTAAGCCTACGAGTAATGCAATGTATAGTATCAGTTAGTTTTGAATATTGTGTGTTATAACCACAGACTGGTATACAGACAGTATGACGGTTGGTGACATAAACAAAAATAAGAAAGGTAGTATAAACATCGTTACAAATGTGTAGTACTGAGGGGGTTTTACTAGTAAAACATCTTTGATGCATAATTGATATTTAGTGCTTAATAATCCTAGGTAGGTAAGTGGTCTAATACTGTTAAAATTTTTAAATTTAGCCAATTTCATTTTCAACTTCTAAATTTAGCCGGTCTAATTTTCAACTTTTAAATTTAGCCAGTCTCATTTTCAACTTTTAAATTTAGCCAGTTTCATTTTCAACTTTTAAATTTAGCCAGTCTCATTTTCAACTTTTAAATTTAGCCAGTCTCATTTTCAACTTTTAAATTTAGCCAGTCTCATTTTCAACTTTTAAATTTAGCCAGTCTAATTTTCAACTTTTAAATTTAGCCAGTTTCATTTTCAACTTTTAAATTTAGCCAGTTTCATTTTCAACTTTTAAATTTAGCCAGTCTAATTTTCAACTTTTAAATTTAGCCAGTCTAATTTTCAACTTTCAAATTCAGCCAGTTTCATTTTCAAGACTAGACTAGCTTCTTTCTTTCTTCTTCATTTGTTTTTTTTTGTTGTTGTTGTTGTTTTGTAAATAGATAAAATATGGTCCTAATACCAATACTTAGAACAAGGAGAGAAGTACTGGTTTTTAAAAAACTTGTTGTTTTGGGATATCATCAAGTTTGGCCACTTTCTCCTCGATGTCCTTGCCATTCTCGGTCTCTTCCAGCATTGTTCCAAAGTTGAACCATCTTGGCTAGGTAAATTTTTTACATGTAACAAATAGTCAATATGACGAATCATTGATGTAATATTTTGCATTGCAGGCAAGATCCAAAATTGAGAAAAATAAAAAGTTATTCAAGTTGTTCCAGGACAGAGAACTTGCAGGTGATGAAAAAAATGCATAGACAGGATGATTAGATGGCTTGAGAATAGGTTCACAGCATCTACCACAGGAGGAAATGTAGATTTCAATATAAGACCCATTGAGAAGCTGGAAGATGAGATTAGTCATCACAAGTAAACTGTCTGAATTGCAACCAATTAAGTTCCATGACATGCACTCTTGGTAAACTTCTTGGGACTACTGCTGGATGATGCAGGCTTTACCTTCAACAGTGTCGAGGCTGAATGAACAACCATCAGGAGACACGTTTTGTTTTCTAACAGTAGGTTACATTAGTGTCTGTTGCAATACAATGGTTTAATCTGTTTGCAAACCACGTCACTCCTTTTTTTATTTTGAGTTACAAACCTGTCAACAGGGTTACCTGGAGTGACATCTATGTCAAAAACAGTGCCCACTGCCCAAACATCATGGTTGTGATAGACTTGGTTATCACTATTCCAGCTTATTTAATAGAATATGAAAGAGGATTCAGTGTGATGAAGTTAGTCGAGACATAATTATAGTATTTTGGCACTTGTGTATAAAGTTAAAATCATAAATAA